ACCCGCTGCCGCCGCTCCCACCAATCGCCCGTGAGTTTCATGTTGTTTGTAAGAGGGTCTTGGGCAGCAACCTACGCACGTCGTAGGTGCCACTGACATCAAGGATGAGTCCTGGTGCCGTAACGAGTCTACGTGGACCGATCGTGATGATCGGTGCACACAGCAGCAGCCACTGCTGTCTCCAAATGAACAGCTCTCGATGTATGTACAAGTACAAGTATTGCTTGGTGTAGTAGATGAATCGATCCCTGGGCCACTTATGCTCGGATCATCAGCCATCCTATACAGCAAAACAGCGAGATCCAGGCATCCCGTCACCCGGCGTACATCTACAGTAGGGAAACCGGTAATAGGTACTATTCAGCAGTACGGTTGTCTGTGGGACGTACTTCCGCTTCTACCGTACAGGTCATGTGGCGGCCGATACGGGTTTCCTTTGTGTGGGTGCGTGGGTGCGATGAAACCGCTCGCACGCTCACACGTGAAACTCTGCTATGTCGGTCTTGTGGTCCGCTTGGTCCGCTTCTTCATGAAGTGGATTTTCTGCTTTGTACAACAGACAGCATCCGCAGCGTGTGCCATCCACCGACGCTCCTTCGCTGTTTCCCCCCGAAAAGAAGGTCCAGAACACGTCTCTTGGTTGTCTTCACACTCTACAGCAGAAAGAAGGATCTACACCTGCTACTTGAATACTGCTGTGTATATATTGAGACCCGCACAAATACCGTATTTTTGTAGGTTGCGTAAGATACCACATTCCTTGCCCGGACTCTAACGGTGTCGAGCTTGGCGTCGTTGGAACCATCTCTCGAGGGTTTTCCGTTCGATACTGGCAGCCTCCTCTTCGTGAAGAAAATCGAGATGCGAAAATATGGGGGGTTGGTATCTTATCAACACACACGCAATTTACGAACCTAGGTGTTCCCCCCCCACCGGTCAGTTCCGTTCAACGCATTGCGGGATGATTTTGAATTTATGTTTGTAGTGCCCTTATGAGAACAGAACCGGCCCGCACTTAAGAACCTCTTATTTGGAGCGAGGCTCGCTTCTTGTTGGCTGCCCCAAGCCGAGCACAAGTTCTTATTTGCCAGGTTCATATTTCGTCGTCCAGTTGTCTCCAGAAACGGTGTTCTTGTTCTTATTTCATCATCGATTGCTCAATTGGTGCACTACTCAACTGCACTCGACGCAGAGTTTCATACCCGCAAACACCCCCCCATGGGGCAACTGTCAACCGTCTTGGTCCACAAGAGTGACGTTGGGGGTGCGTACCCTTCCCGCCCTACTGACGCTCTCAAGCAAAACCCATGAGCCTACCGCCGCGTCCGGATCTCCGCTGTACT